TACCCATGAATGTTGAGTTGAAGTAGCACTCCACACATTTTTGAAGCTTTTTATGTTGACGTATGCTTTTGAATTGCGGGAGATACCGTGGCTGTTTAAGTTAAAAAAGTTTGCACTATGAGGGTTGTACATGAGGCTGAGGGTTGACTAATCATAATTCACACGGACCATAATATTATCGCCACTGAAGCAAAGGGTATGATCAGAGGTCAACATAACTACTCATACAGGACTAAGGGGAAGTAAAGGGAATATTTTAATGGTGCCCATTTCTACAAAAAAAAGGCTGTTCGGTAATTGAAGTATGTAGGTTTACAGTTCTGTACAGTGTTATAACAGCTTGAGTTGGCTCTCTGGGAAGTCTCGGTGTTGTTCATCACTTTTGGAACGTATGTACCATCCTTGTGTATGAGGACGACGACCCGTTTTCGTTTAGGAAAATCTGATCGTCATCCTACTCTGAAGGAGCCTCGCGATCATCAGAGAGATAAACGAGATTCATCGGCTCGGCGATCTCCGCTCAAATTGAGCCATCGGTCTGATTGTGAGTTTTGCCACGACACCTTGTCGTGTAGTTTTACTATAGCCAAGAGTGAGGGATAGGAACTTTACCGTGTAGTGACCTTATAACGAGCTTCATTGTTGTATCAGACCATTTAACCTATATCAGCAGCGTCCAAAGACCGTTCGAGAGGGTTCAGAGGACCAGAACACTTGAATAGCGATCGAGCTGTTTCCTACCGTAGTAAAGAACGATCAGGTGAGTTTAGGCCAAGCTTGTTTTCGAAGATCCAAAATCTATGAAGGGAAATGTACAGATTGCCGGCGCAGCCGCACGAAGGAAGAAAGCCGACACGAGTCCACTAGAAGGTCTCATTCTCCTCAAGCCGCATGTGTGAGGTCGAAAAGACGAAAACTGTCGACGTCTTCCCACAACGATGCTGAGGGACAGGAACAGGAGCTTGTGGTTTCTGACATCGAGTTGGTTATGGTGGATGAGGATGAAGTTGAAGATGGCGAGGTTTTGGATTAGAAGGTCTGCCTTGTTGCTGTTCTGGTTTTCTGTAAGAGTTTCATTTCTTTACTAGTTCAACATGTTGAGTTCAAATGCCTTTGAATAGAAATTGTTAGGAACTGATTTGGTCTTATTCATTGTTGGGTTTTTTCTCACGCGTTAATAATGTAGGTGAGTTTTTGCATCTTAATAAGGAAGTTTAAAGCTTTAAGAGAACTACTGGTATGTTTTTTCTACCTGCTTGTGTTTGCCATTACATTTCGCAACAACCGAGATCGGTATTGCCATTGATCGGTATGAGACGCATGCGTTCGCGTCCCTGAAGCGGTCAGTAATCATGCACATCGTCGCGAGCGACTGTTTGTGTTCTGTTCCTGGAGCTTGAGCCGAGTTTTCGGGTTGATGCACGTGTAAAGATCGTTTTTGGGAAAGTTCTGTCGAAGAAGATATATTTTGTTGGTAAAATGACTCAGTTCATTTGATTCTGTTTGCGCTGTTACGGTTTCCTATTTTCGTTGTCCAGACCATTATACACAACATAAAAGATAGAATTTTATTGAGCATTTCAATATTGCTGCAACCGTTGTCGCTCGTTATGTAAACATTAGCGGTCTCGTCTCCTCTACATCACCGTTTTTCTTCACTTGCGGAAATGTGAGATCATGACCAATTTCTTCTCGTCGTTTCCTGAATAAAAAAATGTTTAGATCAAGAGTCTAATGGGATTGCTGGCTTTTATGGTTGGTNNNCCCTGATTTCGACTTCCATTCATATTCGTAGTTGGGTTTTCAACGCTTATATGGTCTATCCAACCGGTGTGTTAAAACCAGGGCTCTCATTCTTTATACAGGTCTGTTAACAACTGGTGGCCTCTGGAGAAAGACTTGCTTAGTATTCGCGCGCAATGCGCCGGGACGGCCGTAGACCGTACCTCGAATGATTCCAGCCCCAGCTCAGATCTCCAAGATTCTTCAAGAGACGGCCATGACGTACTCTAGAGATTTTTACACATTTAGATTTTGGATTGCGGTCTTAAAAGAACCTCAAAGTACCGGGCATGAATTGACAAGGGGAGATCTGTGGTTAATTAGTAAAATTGAGCCTCTGTTCAAATAAGAAATAGTGGGGGCTAATGTTTACTACGTACTAAATCCGAATACCCTACGTTTTGAAACGATGCCGAATCCATGGCAGGTCCCAGCATGATTAGGTCTTTCTGTTTTACTACAACCAAAAGCTTAGCTCAATATCCAACGCTACTGTTGGACCTAAACAATAGCTGCTCAGCCAAAATTGAAGGGAAAGGAGGAAGCTGCGATGATGCCGCGCCGCGAACCATGCAGTCAGTGGCTGCCTCGGTTGAGTCAGCCACCTTAGGGCCTAAAGTCCAAGTAAAATATGAGAGATTGATAACTTACTTGTAATTTTTCCACATTTGTTGGAGAACTTCACTAGAAATGACATCATTAGCATGTGCGCCAATCATATTCAATATCACAATCATATCGGGATTTACTTGATATATACAAAAATCTTCCATAAGATCGTCTTCATCCGCTGTCGACTTGATAAACCTGAGGAAATCGATGGATTGATGGAAAATATCAATCAAAACCAACAGTTAAATTAAAAGTCCGGTAGTTCAGTTTCATTTTCTCACAACTTTTGGCCTCCCCCACCTCCTCTTCTCTTTACCCATGGTGAATGGTGGTGCTACTACAATCCCCGCTTACCCTTGAGCTCCCTTTCATCCAAGCTCATTATATTCAACTCCAAGCTCATTGAATTCCATTCCATCGAATCGTTTTCTTTCCCCTCTGNGGCATGGCGCTTAATACACTGTTGTACATCTCTGCGACATAACCTGCAGGTCATGTGCCAATCTTGTTGGGAGCCTGAACCCTACTGATAATACAGGACACAGTATGTTTACCTGAGCCCAGTAGAACATCCCCTTTTAAAAAAACAACAATCTTGGAGTGCATGGCTTAGTTTAGCAAACCATCCACTATCATTTTCAAAGTTAAAGCGACTCACTTTCGTACAAATTGTAATTTTTGTGAATTTAATCGAGTTGAGTAGGCAAGGTGAATGGCATCGAATGCGGTCAGGATCCCGACCAAAATAAACCAAAAATACAGAAATAGAAAGATCTTCTCGTTGAACATATTCAAAGACAGTACGCATTGAATTGAGTATCGTTGAAGATTGCCGAGAACACGGACCTGACAAGGCAATCGTTATCTCTGTAGCTGATCCAGGTAGAAAATCATGTAATTTATAGTTTGGGTCAAGTAATGCTGACTTTCTAGTCTGCCGACACACAAGCGCGCGGTCGCGTAGCGGTCACGATGCTCACAATGCGTGTACTGCTCAGCTTAGTAAATCGCCCAAATACAAATCAAAACAAGGATGGACATAAGTCTGTTTTCAAACGGAATAACAGATTTTTTCAAAAGCATTTTTTTCGAAGTCAGTAAGAAAATCAGAAGAGTACGTCTGCTTACCTGAAAGTCACACATGGCTATTCGGGGGAAGTTTCCTGAAAATAGTTTCGTTAGTTTTGCGTCTGAGAGACCAAGATTTCAAAAGTGTGTAGAATTATCGTCGTGAGTGATCGTGAACAGTGGCTTTGTCGATAATGAACTCACCACTGAGCTCCCAATCAGTGCCAGTCAGAATATCGCTAAGTATGTGCACGCCCCAATATGGATCATTCTGACCAAGAAACTTATTCATCATGAGGAATTGCATGACGAGATTGATAACGTAAATGATTTTTGTGATTAGGTAGACACTGAAATAAGTGAAAGTCAGATGTCAATCCGAAAAACACTGCGTTACCTCGTATCGGAGCAACACTGCGTTCTATGAAGAGACAAGTGTGCTGCGCTGTACCCGACGCACAACGCTTTTTAGCTAGTTGTCTCGTCGCGCTGTACGGTATCCGAATCTCATGCTCCTTATCAGGAAAGGGGGTGGAATTGACAGGTTCACTAACGGAATCTAGGGGAACTAAGAGGAGCCGCGCATTACGATCAATTTCCGTTCGAAGGCATTTACTACGTGGGTCCAGACTCAAAAAATTGTCGGTCCTTCATTGGTTACCCATGTCAGGAGGTCTTCCTCCGGCTATCATTCCAGGAATTGTCAACCTCCAAGCTTTCGCACATTTTTGCTCATGAGCGGCAAATCCATGAGGTGATCAGCCACTAGTTAATCTCAAAGGTGGAGGAAGGGGGGTGGGGGAGAGAGAAGGGGAAGACTAACAGAGGTTATACGGTCGCCTCGAACGAACGCTGAAGCAGTGCAGTTGTCATGATCTATGAAGTGAATATGTATTATATATTTCTAATAGCTTCTAAACGTCCTTTGACTCCATTAGGCCTTGTGGCGGAAAATCAATAAATCACTCGATTGATCAATAATCGAATCGATATTCAATTATGAATGGAAACGAACTTGCACACATAAGTTCCATCCAGCTGTCCAAACTTTGTCAGACGGGTAAGTAAGGATGCGCCATCACTTCGAGATATTTGAAGTTGAACGCTGTTTTCAAGATGGGTACAGATAGCCGATACCTTCTTCTCGCGGCCGGAATCCTGAAGAGCTTGTAATTTACTTGCTAACCTAGAGGCACGTCACATGCTGGGTTATATCACAACTGTATATGATTGAAAGGATGTGAAAACCATATAAATATTCAAAGGCACTATAACGCGTCACAGTAAAGAGATGGCTCTGACCAACAGTGTGTCTCACCTCCTTGAGACCTTGTCTACTAAAGGGGGGAGAACGTGGGGGACGGTACGAACGTGCGTCCGAGGGTGCGTGCGGCAAATTGCGCGGCGAAGTTCGTGACGATTTGTATGACTGCGGCGCCAATTTTCGGGGCACAAACTCGAAGTAGTGTAGTTTATTGGGGTCAGTTGATCCTCCTAATCTACTCTATTTAAAATTTGGGCCCCAATGATAGGCGCCAAAGTCGTTCAAATCATTACGAACTTCGCCGTGCAATTTGCCGCGCGCATCCTCGGACGCACGTTCGTACACATACCCGGAGAACGTCGGTTGCGCGCGTCTGTCGAAAAGTGGGTCACCCCGCCCACTTCGCGCGCGGCGCACCCCACTGAGGTCTCGAGACGACACAGACGACACTACAGTACCATCAAGTGCCGGTGGAGCGAATGATTTGCATTTGTCCGTGTTATCTTATCCTTGGCTCAATGTCGTGGGCCGAGCGCAGTTCGTATGCCCGCTGATAACGCGACTTTTGTCAAATATCGCGGGCTGACCCGCCTCATGCGGTGGCTGCGGTGTGACCTAGTTTCTACGGACGCGCGCAATGAAGCGCACCCACTGAACGGGAGATATGACACTGTGATGGCACTCGGTGCTTTTCGCTCTTTTGTTCATTCTTCCTACTGTTCAAGTGAAAGAGTCTTTAATTCCTATTCAGTAGGTTAGTGAAAACCGGGCCCAGATTAACCACTACTTCAACGTCCCTGCATTCCACTTCCATTCAGAATCGTGGTGACGTGTAAATGCGTGGATGTGTTGAATGAATGAATCGTGGCCTACACAACCAGCTGTGGTGCTTTTCATAAGTGCTTTTATCCTCCCAGATGCGTCTTGTACTAATCAACTGGGCACAGAGGTATATGAAAGGCTTAATTTGCCGGGCGAGTATCGATTGTCGATCTGGGATTCAGTACACAATAACATATTTATATGATTATAGAAGGACTACCCAACCTCGGCTGTTTCAGCTGCCACGGCCATACGAACAAGATTTTCGACATTCAAGCCAGACCTGTTGTTTACTTGACTCCAGAATACCATGGGGAAATAAAAGAATGCTGCTTCTAGAGCCATTATGAAAGGAACCCATTGGTAGTATATCAGTTGTTGAGCGACTCTGAAATTTGTGTCGTTAAAAGTAACGCACTGACCGAGAGCGTCGCGAGCGGTTGCGAAACGGCTAATCCAAATCTGTGCTTACCTCGTATCGACTGAATCTGGAACGTCCTCATCAGGCCGTACCCAATAGGTATTATACACAAAACAATAATTTTCAGCATATTGCTCCCAGGCTTTCGTGAACTGAAACCAAGGACGATTTCAGTAATTGAGCCATTCCCACTCACATTCTTTTTTTCAGAATTTGTAGAAAACGATGTTCGAGACTGTGAAGACGTTTCTACCAGAATGTAGTTAAATTACCCAATGTCACGAGAAAGCGCAAAGCTCGCGCGCGGTTGCGAGGCGGCTGAGTACGTGAGAAGTGAACAAGATCCGACGATTGATATGGTACATGAAGATATTATAGTGCAGTCTTAAGATGCTTTTTATTTTTTTTTTTTTGCTCAAAGCTATGGACGCACCCCTCGGACAACTCGCTTACGCAATTGCCCAACGTAACAGCAACGACAGAAAACTCGTCCGAACACTATTTTGGGGGCTTACGTCTTTGTACAGAAAAGGGAAATAACTGCTATAGAGAGGGTACACATTGTAGTCAGCAATGTTCCGACATGAACAAAGTCTAATCCTACCACTAGAGCTTTATCGTATGTATGAAATCTTAGTTTGTTGAAGACGAGCTGGACCCTTTTCATTGTCAGGTTGCAGATGAATGCTCCTTTTCTGGATATTAGAAGGTGGGATAGCCAATTATGCAAATTATTTATTTATTTGCTCGTTAAGCCAGGAAGGGATGCTACAGTCAATTCCATAGTGAACTAATTTGTTGCATAAAGGAGAAGAATAAGTATTATGCTGAACAGCAAATGTGCCCCAATCTACTTTATAAAACTCCCTTCAGACAAAAATAAAATGAAAGCACTGAAACAGCTGATCAGAGGTGAGCTGACTAGTGTTTAGATCAGCCAATGAATCACTGAAAAATACCACAGAGCACCATCGTTGGCCCTAAGCCGACCATTTCCTACCAAATAAACGAAGAGAACACGATAAATACATGGATATGAAGGATATCTAAGTGGTATACCTGAGCCGGTACCCAGCACTGTAACGGTGAACCAACATATTGCTTAGCAGTAATCGTTACTGATAACACCATAATTACCATTGTTGAATAGTAATAGTTAAGGCGATCAGTACCGTAATCGTCAAGCCTGAACCATTCGGTACATTCTTGAATCAATAGCAGACTCACAATCGCATTATTGAAAGATTTATCAGCTCGATCGATAAAAAATCGATTTTTGTAGTTGACGGTTACGTTACCTCGGCTTGATCGATGACACAGCTGACGACAAGAAATTCATATTGCCTAGAAGGTATGATAACTGCCAAGAATAATGAGATCCGCTACAGTGGAAGAACCCGCTGAAAACTTCGAACTAAATCGATTATCGATTGATTCTTGAACACATCAAATAAAGTCAAATACAAACATTAAAACGTCTTAAAGAAATCATAAAAAAATGTGTGGGCATTAGCTCGGAACAATGTTACCCATCTAAGTTAGCCTACCCACGAGACCTTGGAAGATCGTCTTCATCAAGTGGGAGCTGTTTATTGATTATGTAACGATTTATTGATCGACTACAAAACCAAAGGTCAGAGTAAAAGTGTGCTCTGTCTACTAGTCAGTTTTGGAGCTTTTCTTGATAGCTCTAATGGTTGGTGAGTGTTGAGGTGGATCCTGATCAATTTAGAAAGAGGTTGCCCAAAAATCAATTTATCGATTGATTGGGATGATACCGGGGAAACATGCGTTAAACGAGAGAACATGATGAGAGAGTACAAGGGTGTGGATTATTAGTGAAGCACCTCTCGAGACGAGTTAGCGATACCCGTCGTTCTCGAGTGCAAACATCGGCATGGGCGACAAGACGAGCAACGACGACGGTCGGCGACTGAAGAACTTTGCAATGAAGCTGTCCATTGAGCTGCAAAGAGAGAGATCTTGAAAAACATGGACCCGAGTGTCAGCTGAAATTAAGTTTGTGGAATAATCAGGTCCCTCGAGGCTTCAGTAGCAAGAAACTTATGATGATTGTTGGGGGAACCCCATCAGTGAGCTGGTATACCTGTAGAGTATACCCTTCCGGAAGATCCAGCTGTAATAGAGACCCTTATTACACCTAATGGTTACCGTATCCCCTCTGTACCGTGTACTTTTTGTATCAATGACTAAATCCCGGTAAAGGTGTACCTAGAAAATACTCAAGGTAAATATTGTCCCCTCTCACTGGATAATCCTTTCAACCGATGACCATTGGCGTTTGATCTGTTCGGGAATGTTCCGTGGGTGACTTTTCTCCTTACCCGACCCAATACATCAAGTTACTTGGTCCAGAATCCCGTCATTCTCCGACGAGACAGGGAGGTGTTCGAGAGGGCGATATCACCCCGTAAAGACTTTTGTACGAATTGTTATCACCATTTAGCACTCCTCATCATGAAGTGTCTACCTGTCTGCCTTTTTGCTTGCGTCCGCGGTCAAGGAACAGTTCCTGTCTTTTATTGATATTTCCAGAGGGACGAGAAAGAAGTACCCTTTTTTCGAAGTGTAAACATTGTTTTAGTAAACAAATGAAACATGATCCGGGGAAGTTTTCGTGAGTAAAATCTGAAAAACGGTCGGCGGGGATGTACCTGTCGGCATTGTTTAGCTAACAAACCATTGCAGTGCACATACGCAATGATGGCTATTGAATTACCAAGAGAACACAAAGAAGGTGGTAATCCTTCTTTTGTTTAGTTAATCTTTGAGAGGGAAGACCCAGAACGGTTGGTGACGGATCGATCTCACCTCTGGGGTGCGCCATTTACTGAACCTTCATCCGAAACGGTTGCTGTTCAAAGGTGACTATGACGTAAATGTACAATAGCCAATAGAACAAGTTAGAGATCATGAGCCCCTGAGTCAGCCTGCTTCTAAATGATGCTTCTCGGCATGCCTGAACAAATAAATAAACAGGAAAATAAATAAATAAGCGAATTCTTGCTTGATTAATTAATTAACTAAATAAATAGTCAACTAATAAAAAGGCAAAAGTTAAACGTTGTCCCTTCCTATTGCTATCGTATTCAAGTGGCAAACAACTCCTCCCATTCAATTGGATTGTTAGAAACCAGTGAATGTAACTCAGCAATCAGTGATAATCCTTAAACCACTGGAGCTCCAAGACACTTCTTACAATTAGCTTTTTCTGGGTACACAAGTAGGGGTAAGACTGGATTGCAGCTGGCCTGATGAGAAAGAATTTCTCACAAGAGTTGTTGTTCTGTGATGTTGTCCTGTTAAAATGCGACCCATGACATGCTCCATATATGGGCTCAAAATTCGTCCACTGTTAAACACGCCCACTGCCATCAAGGGCGTGTTTAACAGCCTTCCATGGGCTTGTCGTGGGGTGAACAATGTTGTAGACGTGGGGGTGCTGTACCAATCCGTCCCTACTGTTCCTAACTTATGCAAGGCCGATAATGAAGGGCTACAGAATGGCCAAAGCTTTCTGGCTCTCATTGCTTTTTTTTGGTTTTTCTCTAAGGGCCTATGATTCAGCCTCAGCGCCTTCAATCCTCAACTGCTCGGTCACCTATCAGGTTATTGTCAACTGTGTCTTCGAATCGCAATTCGTTTTGCCTTCACAAAACCACTGTACGAGGCGGTTGGCCACTCAAATGTTCCTTTGTAAATGATTGGGATTGTGTGAATCGAGAATTACTTGCTGTTGGAAGATCTGTGGAGAAAAACTACCAGTTACCTTTCGACGAATAGTTGGATGAACTCCAGTGAGGTGAGACGAGCTGCTACTGATTGAAATCATCCTATAGATCTGATTTATCTGATCAAGTCGCCCTATAAAAACCACCTTTAGGGAGATCATACTCATTTTCTGAAATGGACGAACCAGAACAGAAGCAGGAGCCAGAAAAGAAGCGCAGCAAAACATCGAAAGAAAGGACATCGAAAGAAAAGATATCGAAATCGAAAGAAAGTGTTACATCGAAAGAAAGCATACAAAAGAAGAAGAAGAAAGGTGGAACCAACAGAATGCTGGTTGTTTTCGTCGGACTTCTCCTTCTGGTAGTTCTGGTATGTTTGTTTTACAAAGAGAGATACCTGGAATCAAATGGTTCTCCATAAAACGAGTAAGACCTCGAAGACAGCCATGTTTTTAGGCAGGAGTTGGATACTTTGTTTTGTTTGTTTTGATTGAAGAAAAGACCCCTGAAAGAACCTCGTCTCCGGAGCCCACCAAGCCGAAAGGTTTGGTCTCGGCTATCATTGTAAGTTACTTTGCATCAGGATCGAAGCAGCTATCAACAACACCTCTGAAACACATTCAGCAGTTGTAGATGTCGGTGCATCGGCGAGGCAATCACGTTCAACGGGGTGTCTATTAGGCTGTATCGATAATTTCTCTAAACGTAGTGAAATGACTCTCTTTGTAAGTGGTCATCAGGTACTTCCCTCGCCGCGCGAGTGTGGGACGGACTCGCCGCGTGCGGGAATTCCCTTTCTAGTTTAACGGTGTCGTTGCTATCATGCGAAGTTAGTAGCAAAAAGCCCTGCTGATGACGTTATCACCGAAGTTACCTATTGCTCCGACAACAACCGTTTCGATTCTTCCAACAGACACAGTCAGTTGCATTTATACCTGGCGTTGGGCGATGTGCCAGTAGCGATAGGTGGGCGTTAGGCGATAGGCGGCAGGCTACGAGCATTGGAATGGACGGAAGAATAGAGCAGAACAGACATGATTAAGCGCCTTAAATAATTTATGAAACACCACTTAAGTTCTTGATTTGCGATACATTGATCGATGCCGGAGCTGGTGCTTACGGTTTATCCTTCCGTTGCCCATAGCCCACCTGTTGCCGGCGGAGAACGTCCATTGCGCGCGTCCGTCGAAAGTAGGTCACATCGCCCACACCGCGCGCGGCGCACCCCATATGAGGTCCTTACATGTCATTACAGTACCACCAAGTGTCAGTAGAGCGAATGATTTGCATTTGTCCGTATTATCTTTCCTTTGGCTGACTGCTGTGGACCAGGCGCAAATAGTACGCCCCATAGACAACTGCAACGTTGTCGAAAACGCGGGTTGATGTGTCGCATGCGACGGCTGCGGCGTGACCTAGTTTCGATGGACGCGCACAACGAAGCGCACCCGTCGCCGACAATCCAATGGCATGAATGCACTTAGAGTCTCAATCAATTTGACCCATGTGATAACGTGAAGTCGTGATAATGAATCAGGCACATGTTTGTGAAAACGAAAACCTTACTCACTTCTTCGGTGTCAGTGGTCGCTTTCATAGTAGAGCGTCAAGCGCCAGCTCGACGCCCTTGCGTCAACGGGCGCGCGCTGACTCACAGACCACGCTAGCGTCTTCGCCGCCACTGACAGTTTTTGCGCCGGAGCATGTTATTTTTTAAGCAGAGAAAAACGATAGGAGAGTGTGAGTTTTTGAGAAAAGAAAAAGGAAAGGACATAGACTAGTACACATTCAGAAACTAAATTACTACTCATGCGTTGAAAGAACCCTTCTTCTTACAGCTTTTCCATCATGGCGCACGAGCTCCGCTGTCTACGAACCAAACCATTTTAGCAAAGTTCCCTCTCGGAGCTGGGGAACTTACTGAGGTAGGTGATTCAGTGCACTTCTGATCCTGCAAACCTCAACGTCAAAGCTGCTACTGGACTGCACCACTACGGTCGTAAAGCGATCATGCTGCTTATTCATTACAATCGAATCAAACTAGTCACTAAAACAGCTTCCCGAGAGACAAAGTGTACGCCCGCTGTAGGAGCCTATACAAAGTGATTCGTACAGAATTATGTCCAAAAATAAAGAGCTTTGGTACGCAGTGCGTGAGGCTGGTCTGGGTACTTCGAAAAGCGTCATAAACGAAAACCTACACAGGTATCAAATATGTCCCACTATGGATACCTAGTCTCTCGTATCTAGTGGGAGACGAGCAGTTGAATCGGTTTTATGTAATCGATTCGCTCCGCGCGGCATTTGCGGACTAGTTGCCTCGTTGTTGCATGTCTAGAGTTCTTCATACAGCTAAATCGATATGCGATTATTATTCCTTACTCGCTGCGCTACCTTCTGCTTCATTCTTCGCGCGCGATGTCGCTCTCGCCGCGAAGCGATCATTTCGATTCAANTCCGCGCGGCATTTGCGGACTAGTTGCCTCGTTGTTGCATGTCTAGAGTTCTTCATACAGCTAAATCGATATGCGATTATTATTCCTTACTCGCTGCGCTACCTTCTGCTTCATTCTTCGCGCGCGATGTCGCTCTCGCCGCGAAGCGATCATTTCGATTCAACTGCACCACACCGTTTTCTACTACGATAGAACAACTCGTAGAGCTTTGATACAAAGTCATTAATACGAGATTGCATTATCTCAGCTTTACTATCAGACGGCTCAGTCAAGAGGGAATTCTTCAATTCCTCTTACCCCAATTGACATTTCGAAAACAAATGAATACGAACTACAGAATTGTAAAAATAGGATTTTTTGAAGTAGCTCATTTTTGATCTTCACTCTCGGGTTGTTCCTTCGCGCTGATCGCGGTTGATCTACCTCGTCGATACCGCCACTCGCTTGTTTCGTCAGCGCGGATCCCCTTCTTTGCATTTTCTCATTTCTGATTGTTTCCGATTTTTCTGTCAGTCTTTCAATCCTTCCCTCAACTGAAGCCAGAGTTCACGGTGATCAATGGATATGCGCTCCCTTTGATGGTCTGGAGATCGATATTAGAAAATTTTTGAATCTTTCGACTATAGATTGTATAGGCCTGGATCAAGTTTCTCCCAGTGATACTGGATGTGAAATCACTTGGCAATCTGCCAAGTTAGGAAGAAGTTTTTCCAAAAACACGGGAAGTTCTCGTCGCACTGTGAGAACTTCTTACCGAAATGGTCATGTGAATGGGTGCACGGCTCTATCTCTTCAATTCTTGCCCCATCTAATCATCTCACCCATCTAGAGCTATTCTCCTTCGAAAAATTAGGGAAGAAGCTTCGGGATGAGTGTATGAATTGGATGTTCAATTTTTTCCTCATCCCAGCTTTTTGCACGAGATAATCATATCTCCCACTCGGAATCTCCTTCCCTGACTTTATAGGGGGAGGGAATTATCGCTGCGCTTTAGCGCGGTCTCTATGCATTCTGCCGCCTGGTGTCAGAGACGCAAAGCACAAAAGGGCGCTAGCACCCCCCACTACATTTTCATCTTCAGAACTCCAATTCGTTCATAAAACGCTGCAGGCAATTCCTGGATAGTTGTCTCACAGCACAGCACATTTGCTAACTAGTTGCCTCATCATGTGGCATATGATTCTGCAAAAAGAACAAATCTTCGTTTGCCCACTTCTAATCGATGTTCGTTTTTGAACGAATGAGGTAATGAGGCAGTCCCAAGTGTGAAGGCTTTATTTCTACTAGGAACGTCAACGGATCAGAGTTGGTGATATAGTATAATACAGCTAAGGGTTCAGGATGTTTCATGCAAGCGATACAGACTTCTCACTCTCATTTTTTTTTACCGTATGCACCAATCCTTCCCAGCGCATATCATCGATTTTGCCGCTCGTGTGCGCCTAATCGATAATCACCGTTTGTCTCCCCAAGTATAAATGGGGCCACCTCAAATATGGTTCTATTTCACCGGGAGTTATGACGCTATGAAAATGAGTATAAAAAGGCTACCAAATGGTCAATAAATAATATTGCAATATGCTCTTTGGTATAGACTCAAAAAACAGTGAACTCTTTCCTTCAGGGAGGAATCGACGACTCCTTCAAGTTGGGACAATTCTTAGGTGAACGCTATGTACAGACAGGATTCCTACGTTCACCACCTCTTCCAGCAGAGGTAGGAAAAGCGGTCTAAAAACGTACTCCCTCATTCGATCCCTTGACCCTTGAATTTCAGATCTATTTTCGAAGTAGATCCATCAATCCTAGCCTAATGTCTGCTGCACTTGTTGGATCGGGCATGTGGGCTGCCCCGAAAGATCCAGAATTCACTGCAGTCCCAATCTATGGCCAGGAGAAAAATGATCGTGTACGTCGTTCCTTTTATGCTTTGACAACCATGTATTTATAGAAATTTGTTAAGATCTTTACACATTTACAACATTGCCGGCTTGAGAAAAAACGGCTTTCCGATCGATGCGGGAAGGCGCCACCTGAATTCGAAAGTGTGGGTGATTTGCTTGTTATTCGGACGAGTTTTCTTTATCGAGGACGTTTCCCACTAACGATCGGTCATTACTGGATTCCTGCATCTTCTTGTCCGTTTGATAGAGCAATACCTCTTTTAGCAGTATCTTCATTACCTTACCGAATAAGGGGCTTTATGGACCAGGAAAACTGCGAACCTCGTAATATCCACTCACTCGGTCCAATCCGGGCCTCGATTCTTAGTTATTTGCCTCACCATAGTTGTGGGCCGATCAAAACTTCTCTTTTGCTCATATTACCTATTCCAGCAGCGTGACGAGCCCAACTCCGGCTGAGACTTCCTTCCGAGAGTGGGGGTGGGAAGGGGGTAGCGGGCTTTGTCTTCTAATTCCCATGGCACGTGGTAGTTTCAGTAATCACTAGCTAATAATCGAATCTTACCCTTCTATGCCCGGCTTGGTGCCCGGTGATCAGAGGTGAAGGAGCGTTACACCTTTCAGGTACAACATCCCATACTCCCCGTTATGGGGATGGCCATGATCGGTTAACCATATCATGCACAACTCTCTTCACCCAAACTCCCATCCAATCGGTCTAGCTAGCTTTTCCTTGAAGAGCTCGACTTTCTCCTCCCATGAAGCCGCTAAGATTGAGCATCCCTGAAGGGGGTGATGGATGGAGAAAGTCGAGCTTTTCAAGGAAGTTTATGGATGGTAGGCCTGAAAGTTGTCAAAAACCTAGAAGGATTCAGAAATTATGGACTAGCTACCCAAAAAAACTTATTCAGTGGTCTGAATATGAAGGATTTGTGTATGAATGTGTTGGACTGAACAGACAGTCCAAGGTCGTCAAAGATGCAAAAAGTTTTGCTAAGATGGCCAACCTAATACAAATGGTTAGTTCACCTATGAGGTGTTCTTCACATTACCAGCCTAATCTACGCTGAAATAACATCAGGACCGAAGCGGTGTGGAAACGCCATCGTGGTTTTCAGAAAACAAAAAAGAAATCTACAAACTCTACGAGAGGGTGAGTTTTGTGGTCCTAAGTGGAGTTACCGTATTAGAACTGTACCTCAGTTGCCCTTAGTGATTTGTTACTCCTTTAAATTGTCTTGGTACCCGGATTCCTACGGTCATATGCGTGTATACATAGAATGTCGAGGGTGACAGAATTAGTACTCAAACTTCCACGGTCACACACACGCACGGGGCAGATGGTTCGCGGCAATTACCGTAATCATCCACTGGGAAGTCAAATTCTACATTTACACTGCTCGCCGCGAACGCGTGCGGCCTGTGCAGGGAGCACGGCAAGCCGTTGGGGTACAAACTCCTGCACCCGGGTTCCAGATGCACTCATCGTGGAAGATCTACAGCTAGGGATGACCGAACCAGCCAATCCGAGTAGCTTGGGACCTTTCGAGAAGAAATATACATCGCTAAAATGAATGTTAGAGCTCGACCCATTTTGGGTGGGTATGCTTCTGATACGTCACCCTTTCCCTGAGACTTTCTCCACCCACGACGCCGCAAAGGTTGAATATTCCTGAAAGGGATGGAGGAGTAATCAATTTTCTTATAAATAAAGTTTTTATTTTCTCAAAGTTTCTTAAATATTTTGTTAAAGTTGGTTTGGGGCCTGCTCCCTGACTCATCGATCAACTTTTTAATTTATTTATGCCTTGTAAAATGAGAAAACGTCGAAATTCGGGAATAAACAGTCCCTCCTGGTGCACGTGTGATATCCATAGAGTAAATTGATTATTCTCCCATGCCATGTTTTGCACATGAATGGGTGTCATGGAGGAAATCATTTGATCCGTTCACGAGGCCTTTGAATGATTTAAAATTGTTTCCAGACGTTCAGCTTTATCATGGGAGTGAATGATTACCACGACAAGAAGATTCTCCAACTGAAGCAGGGTGTACTCATGAAGACCATCCTCGACTTACTCAAAAACCGTTGGACTGAATGGCAATCATCACATAAAATTGCAAAACGCAAATTCATAGCTTATTCCGTGGTACTGCTTTGGCTTCTCAAAGACGGCATCTTTAGTAGTTCAACGGATTTTCAGCAAGAATGGCTTATAATGGCGTTTATGGAGGCTCTTGGATGTGCCAAAGAAGCTTTGAATGGCTCCATACCTAGCAATAATGCGCTGCTTATGATCGAATTAAGCGATGACGATGATGAAGCATTTGTCCAGGTACATGAGTCGACCTAATCTGCGTTTCCGTTCTCTGTAATCAAAGGTAGTGACCGGTCCTTGAGCTGTTGCCACTCTGGGAACTTGTGCACTTGTTTACATCTACACCACGAAATCTTGTGTTTATACTCGGTGAAGCTCGTATGGTATCCAGCTTGTGTGCCATCGCTTGCCGTCGACATAATGAAGCGATAGGGTCGCTTTTCGTGGGATGAAGAGCACGGTGCCCGGCAAGCACGAGTGCGGGTTCGAGTCATTTCCGAGTTCTAGCTATAGCTCGACAACCTTGTGAGAGTCGTTTGTTTTAAATGTCGCAAGTAACAAATTCAAGCGACCCTGGTACTAGCCGTATTCCAGTTGGTCAATGATCCCCTTCCCTTAGTGATAAACCACACCAATGGGGTCGCCAGTCGCTAGCGACCGGTCGCGCGATCGATCGTGCGACTGGTCGCGCGACCGGTCGTGGACTATGAAAGATGCCAATGCGGTCCCTTCTTCGTGTCCCAATTAAAATAGTGCTCAGTGCTGCGCTTCAGTGGCACCGAATGTGTGAGCGATTCCATCCTGGTAGGGATGCAATTTTTAGTTAGTGATTGATTTGAGACATTTAACCGCAAGGTGGAGATATGAAGGGGCGCTTCCAAAGTAGAGCGTTGAGCGTTCAGCGGTCGTAGGCCGCGTTAGCGTCCGCGCCACGGCTAACAGTGCTTGCGTTGGAGCATGTTATTTTCCAAGCGGAGCCGTGTAGAATTCTTTCGTAACGGTGTCAGCTGGGCGATCCGACTGAGTGATTGTGTAGTTGGATACCCGGTCCTGACCAATATCCACTGTGATGGAAGATGTTCACTTCCTTTAAAGCGATTTTACAATTCCATCTTCAACTTTTCAGGTCTTATACATTGATAAAACAATGAACTCCCTCAAGGACATTACCAAAGCCGTACGTCTATGTGATCGTTCACCTTGTCCCTTAGCGAAATTTCTGCAATGTTGCGATGATTATACGGTAGAGGACCCAAAAATTGTGTGCGGCTAACAGCCTCACGTTTATTCTGTCTATAGTTTTACTTTTACAAACTGCAACTTCATTTTCAACATTCTTTACAGTTGTATATAAACGACTGTTAGAATATTGTTGGAACAAGTTCTCGTTATTCATAAAAAAAACTTTCATAGTGCTTATCTTCCCGATTTTGTTGGTTTAGAGAAGGGGACGGGTCCCGGACAAGACCGGGGAGACATCCCAGATAGATCGGCTTTGTATATCCAGAAAAGAGCAATGTGTGGTGACAGGCTTCGCCCTGGGCGGTCACCCTTTCAGCAAATCTCGACTATTCTTCTCGTGCGAGTTGCTGACGTAATCGACCGTGACCAGACCCGCAGACTCTGCTTCTGATGGTAAAAATCATAGGATGCGGTCTCCCTTTCTTGAAGGCACAGTTCAAGATAATTTTTAGGGACCCTCTTCAGGAAGAAAAGTGTAAATGTTGATGTAGAGGAGTACATGGGTGGCGAAGAAAGCGAGAAAATCAGCCTACTTCAAGGCTTTTTAAAAACAGTGGAAGTGGAGGTTGTACGAGATTACCGTGACTGTAATGGCATGTAAGGGGTGTTTGGACGAGTTTTAACTTGCTCCTATTGCTCAAGAAGATGACTACATCAAGCCGAAATTGTTCGAAACTGCCCTGTCGCCATGGGTTTTGACAAGTTGTTTGAACTTCCTACATGGCAGTCTCTCGAAATAGCGCAGTCTCTGCTAAGCCGTTGAAAGTCGTCCACGGTGGGTGTGCCATTCACACGATACAGTCTCTGTGCCCTCATTGTGCCCTATCCATGACGTTTTTCGGCCTTACCACGGCAAGTATGTTATGAGGGATCCCTTGAATTCGTACTATAGGGAAATCTCAAAAACCATTTCTATCGCGGACTGTGCCTTTAAAGAAGTGATCTGCATAGATGTGTGAGGGTGATTCGACCACACTGGAGCTTTTCTGGAAGAAGTACCAGGGAAATCTATCGCTTCAAATGGGGCATGTAGTCTGCAAATCTGCTCCACTCACAGTATGGCATCATGTGTCCTCGCGCTTTCCGCAAATCACAAGCGAATACTTCGTCTGATGTTTATGGCGTCCAAGCCTGTAGAATGCAACAGCGGCTCGGCATCGTTCAGTGGAAGCTTTGACATTTTGAAGTAAGATATCAGCGATGAATAAAGGCACTCATACAAATGGAATGAACATGCAGAGCTTGATTAATAAACTGCTTCGGCGTTGATCAACCCATTTCGGAATGCTCCCCGCATTTGACTCCCGTTCAGAATCGTAGTGGTGTTTTGAATATGTATATGGCCTATGCCATGAGATCGGTGGCCAGCCAATGTACAAGTCAGTGCTTTTGTCTTTTCACAGTAGTCTGGCACCAATTGACCTACACTTGAGGAATAGAAGACTCGGTTTGCAGCCATGAGGGCCAGAGCCACATGAGCTGATTTTAATTATAGACCTTCATCGGATTCGTGAGTTTCCGCTCAAACCCCGCCCCTGTGGGCGGAGTCTGGTCCTGCCACTCACCGTAAGTGTTTCCATACCGCCGCCAATACCCCTTCCAACTTTGAACCTTCTAGGTCCACGGGGACGGGAATTATGATTTTCCAAAATGTTTTCATAAAGCAATGCATTTTTGGAGAACTCCCCGCCCAACGGGGGTGGGTCCGCCCAGTTCGATCTAACATACCAATACACACCTCTAGCCACCTCTAAACCCCAGTTTTGAAGCCGTCTTAAGACTGAAATTGAAATCATGATCCTCAGTACAGCTCATTTCGATGCACGTCACGCCCACTGTGGGCGGGGCTCCGCCAAGCTGATGTGAGCATTATACTTTTCGGGATATGGCCCACCTATTCCATGCTTGACCCGGTCTCTCCAGGCAGATCTAACGGAGCCAAGGAATTTCGTGACAGACATACATAACGACAGACAGATGGACGACAGACGAAGCGCTTTATAGTAAGTAGGATAGTATGCACCCTTGCCCGTGAATAACGTCGAGCATAATGGCATATCATTGGGTCTTGATTTAGGTCCTTTTAGTCCTCCCAGATTTGATTGCCATCAGCTCCAAAAAGAGGCGTACTACTACCCCGTCCCTAATAGGCCTACTGTAGGCCCAAACAGTGCGTGCAAATTCTCACAGATATCGATGCCTAAGAAGTTGCTACATCTTTGGTGCAACGTACTCTAACATAGTGAGGTACATATAAAGCCTTTTCAGAAGCTGAATGGACTTTCGTATCTGCAGCTCAGAAATGGAATTCCAGTATTTTTTGTCGACTCTAATTCCGGTTACATTTGAAAGAATCCAACAAACCAGTTCTCTTGCTTGAAAGCCTACACAACTCTACGGCTACCCGCATAAACAAATCAACAAAACAAAGATCAACGAAAGGATAAGGGAAGGGTTCCGCACCTGTGGCCGTATCTGGGCTTACTTTCAGAGCTGCAGTGTACTTTGAGGGAAAATCGTACGGTAGTAAGTCTAGGGTACGGTAAACCGAAGTGTCGATAGAACTACTATGGAAAGAACTGCAGGAAGAACATAGTTAAGATACGAATGAATATTTTTGCTACCACATGGTTGTATAGATTTTACACTATTATGAAAAGTCGTCCATAGGCCATGATGTTGAAAACAGACTGCACCACCACCACGACGAAATTGCGATTTCTGAAAAGAAAACTCTAGATCACACAATTCAAAAAGAGAATGATGAAGTAAGATTTTTAATGGTGAAAATAACGGGAAAGAACTATTTCAAATAAGTGGGATAAGGTGTTTCTTTGAAGTGAGGGTCCAGTATGTTACCGAGAAAACTGCTCGTCTGCAATACCCTCCTTCCCTGCCACAAAATGTGGCTTTCAACAGGATTTCCACGACCCCATTCACCTTCTTTTGCTAAATCTAAAGCTAATGACAGAAATTCAGCATTTCGTCTGGATTTCTGTCAAGAAAAAATGACGGCGGGAGAAGGGTAGGAAGGTGGGGAGGCGGTGGCCCCCATTTGTTCCCTATATGTTCACATTGTTGAGCGTTGAAATCTGCTTAAGATACAAAAAAGTTCCCATGACACAAGTTGGAACTGTTCCCGCTCTAACCTTGCTCTCCCTCCTCAAGCATTCCACAACATACCCGGCTTCATGTCGAACAGGTATCAACACTGACAAAGTCTTGACGTTGCTGTTTATAAAAAGCGTCGATTTACAGACTTCCTCTACCGTTCTTCGTCTCGTTTATTCAAGTACTATTTTCACACTCACCAGCGATCACTGGTCACTAATTCGCGAGGTATAAATGCAGACCAACCGACTTTTGATTTCTAGCTCTGGCTAAACTTGGCTTGATTTCAATGGGCGGTGGGATTTTTTCGGTGTCCTTTTTCTATACGTTCCTCTAAAGAAAAAAGAAAGCTGCTGGTATTTTTCTCACCTGTCGATTCAAATCTCCCACACAAACAATCGATGTGTGCCCGTTAGTATCTGCCACAGCCCATTTGGAATGATCTCGTGAACTGTTGAACGAGACATCCGGTAAGCCAACAACAGAAACGTCGTATATCTAAACGATTTTTGTCTTCAGCGGAAAAAACGTCTTGTCGGGGCAGATTCAGTGGAAACTTACGCTTATGCCTCTCGTGCAGGTGCTCTCCAAATCGTCAGCACCACCATTTAACCAGCTCTCGACGGCTAGATTAGTTCCGAGCTCCGGACCCACCAGATCGAACCAGAGATCTGCATAACGATAAATGGATTGTAATGAAGCTTGCAAGGAAAGTGATCACAGAAATTATCGAGTTGGAGGATAAAGCCTTTCCCATTAATCAATGCCGCCTGATAGATGCACCCCGCATTCGACTTTCAGTCAGATTCTTAGTGGCGTTTTTGAGGCATGCGGGCCCATACGATGAGTTGCGATGGCTAACCGATGTACAAGTCAGAGCATTTATCCTTCCAGACTGGCCTGGCACCGATTAACCCATTGACGATCACGGCGTTTTGCGGGAAAACGCCGCGAGGGACCGGCGCGCTTTTCTCCCACTCGCGACTGCAGCCCACATATGGACTTCACGGTCCAGCATGACCATTT